TCTGGCCCGTCCTCCCAACAGCACTCCCAATTCGAGGCGATGTCCAACCAGATCATCGGCAAGAGTACGTCCGCGCGGCTGTCCCTCCTTCCTCTTCTTTTCTTCTTGCTCCTCCCCAAGCTCCCCCGCCATCCCCTGGTGTTGTCGAGCTCGCTGGCCTCTGACACTCCGCCACCAGTCGACGGCATGAACGACCGCCTGAACGAGCTGGAGAAGTCCCTCCAGACCCTGATGGAGCAGGCCGACGCTGCTGCCGCCGCGCAGGGCACCAACAACGGTGACAACTAAGTACCCACCTCCGCTCGCTTGGTCGCCGGCCAGGGAGGTAACCCCTCACTTTGCTGTCCCCTTGCCCGGCGTTTCATCTTTCCCCCTCACATACACGCGCGCGCGCGCGCTGTTTCTCCGTCCGTCATTGCTGTGCCCCAATAAATACCCGAAAATGTGAGCCACCACCGAGGCACTTCCGTGATGGCAGGGGGGGGCTTTCATTTTTGCTCTAGAAGTCATCGTAATCCTCTTCGTCCAGGTTGACCAACGACGAAGTGGCACTGGCTGCTTGGCTGAGGAGGAGGCCGGCCGGGTTGGGCGCCAGCAGGGGCACCGGCGTCAGGCCCACCGGCCCGGAGGGCGGCGCAGGGGCCGGGGTGACAGCAACCGGCGCCAGGGCAGGCACCGGCACCAGCTGTATCGAGACCGGGGTGGCGGCGGTTGCCGCCACTGGCGCCGTCGCCGCCGGGGCCGGCGACGAGTCAGCACCCGTGGCCAGGACGGCATTCGATTCGGAGGCGGAGGATGCCGCCTGCGAGGACGCCGCTCCAGTGCGTTGGCGTTTCCGCGGCGAGGAGACCATCGCCGCCGGCGCCACCACTGCAGGCTGTGAGGAGGGAGAAGCGCTGGGCTTCGTGGGTGAAGGAGTGGGAGGCGCCGCCGCAAGGGCCGCGGCATTGCGCGCGGCCACACGCATCGACACACGCCGGCCCCCGGACACTCCGCTGTCGGCCATCAGGCTGCCTTGCGATTGCGAGGGCGAAATGCCGGGCGACACCCCGGCCGAGGCGGCCGGCGAGGGCGAGGGCGAGGGCGAGGGACAAACCACCGGCAGGACGGTCGGCGGCTCCTTCGAGGCAGCAGTACCAGGGCCCGAGGCCGGCGTGAGCACAGGGGCTGGGACGGGCGTCGGCACGGGGGTTGACCCTGGCGTCGAGCCGGCTGGCCCGGCAGCGCGCGCAGGCCCCCGGCTCAAGGCCGCGGTCAGTGGCGACCGGCCAAAGGACAGCAGAGGATTCGCCTGGGGGGGCGGTGGGCTACTAGGTACGGCGGAGGGGCCGGCAGCGGCGACACGGCCACCGGCCGCCGACCGCCGCCCACGGGCCTTCGCGGCAGCCGGCTCCGAGCTGGCAATCGGAGACGAGGGAAGGACCGGCGAACTGGACACCGCCGCCAGGGGAGCGCCCTCATCGCCATCGGGTCCCCCAGTCGCCAGGCCGGAATCGGATCCCCCACCATCGGTCGTCGGGGTGCTGCCACAGGCACCGCCATAGCTGGTGTCCAGGAAACGCCCGGACAGGGTGCCACTGGTCTCGGCCTCCAGCAGGGCATTTAGCTGGTCCATGGTGAGCAGTTCGCCGGCCGGGGGGTCTGCGTCGGGGATCGCCTCGACTGTGCTCTTGAGAAAATCGAATTCGGTCCGGGAGAGGACGGCCCGTTTACTGGATGGAGAAACCCCAGCAGGAGGGGAGGCATGGCATGGCATGGCATGGCATGGCATGGCATGGCATGGCATGGCATGGGGGGAGCGGGGTGAGGGGCGAGGAGAGGGAAGGTCAGTCGCTGGGGGACACCGGGCCGACAGGGGAGCACAGACCACTGGCCGGGGAGGGGGAGAACGCACAAATGGACGGTCTGGATGCGCTTGGCGCCGGATTGGCGCGCATCGCCAAGGGCACCGCGCAACAGTTCCCGCATGAGGACCTCAAGTGCCTTGGCTGGGGCGGAGGAGTGGCGGAGGAGAGGGTAAGCAAAGAGTCTGGTGGCCAAGAGCCTGGGAGGAAACGCATTCCAAAGGACAGGGAGTGGAGGGCGGGAAATGGGGAAGGAGGGCGGGGGGTGAATGGTGATCGGCTGCGCACAGACAAGCATCGGAGCCGCAAGGGACACCTTGCCAACTTCATCGTCCTGCTGCATGATCCGCTTGATGCGGTTCTGGAGAAGGGCCGGGGAACAGGGTCGAGCAAATGCCGGGTCAGTGGCGGAACGGGCAGGAAAAGGCGACAAAGGAACACCCTGACAGAGGCATACCACCGGGAAGGCGCTTTTAAAGCGTCGCCTCATTGTGCCCTGTGAACAACCGGATGAACGAGCGCTGACTGGACAACAGACGGCGGGGAGAAGAAAGCGAGGGGGAGAGGGAGAGAGGGAGAGAAAGAGACAGGGAGGGAGAAAGGCAATGCCTCAGGGTGCCACTAAACAGACTGGCCCTCCGCGGGAACAAACCCAGGCAACGGAGACGAGAGACAGAAGCAGGCGGGGGAAGGGAGGAGAAAAGCAAGAGGAGCAGGGGTCGGGGGAGGGGCAGGGGCGGGGGAGAGGCAGGGCCAGAGGCAGGTTGCCCGACGAGGCGAGAGTTCGACCAGCGCAGAGGCTTTTATAGCGCCAACGAGACGCCGCCTCTTTAGATGTGGCTAGATGCCGGGACGGGGCGCCGGGGTGAATACACTCCCGGCGCCTCTCTCATCGGAAGGGGGGCAAACGTTTGTCCCCTCCTCCGCCTCCCCCCCCCCCCCCCACACACACACACACACACACACCACCACCACCACGCCTCGCCAGGAAACACACAGCACCCAGGAACCAACTCCGCCACAGGCCCCCGGGAGGACGAGCCAGGGGCGCGACCGGTAATTGTCCGGCGAGTGCCGATGGACTGTGTCACAGCTGCCCATCCATTGCGTTGGGATCTGGACATCCCCCCTCCGACGCCATGCGCCCGGCAGGCTGGTCGAGGGAGAAGATCCGACGGCGTGGCCCGGGGCCCGGACGGGCGGATGTGCGGACCCTTTGTGAGATCGCACCGCGCGAACCCCCCCCGCGAGACGGGTGGCGCATTCTTGCTTCCTTGCTGGCCCTCCCCCCCCCCCCATCTGTCTCCTGTTTACCCCTCCCCTCCCCCCCTGTCTTTTTGCCTTTCTCCCTCTCCCCCTCTTCCCACCTACATTTACACACATGCCTCCTCGGCACATTGCGAAGAAGCCCCGGACGGAGGGCCCCGGGTCGACCGGCCAGCAGCCGGAGGACGAGCGCCTCCTCCGTCGGATGATGGCCTTCGACCAGGGGTCCAACTCCGAGCTGTCTTCCTCGGATGACGATGACAACGCCCCCGAGGAGCGTGCTCCTGGCCCGGACAGCCGCCATGGCCATCTGGACACCTCGAGCGAGTACGACTCTGACGACTCTGACGACGACAGCGAGTCGGAATACGAGTCCGGCGATGAGTTCGATGTGGCCGCCGCCTCCATTGACGAGAAGATTGTGCGTATCAGACGGAATCATGGCAGCTGTGGCTGCCTTCTCCGTTCGGCCGCTCGGCCCCCGTCTAATCTCTGACGGATCTTTGTCCTCCCCCCCCCCTCCCGCTTGGGATCAACCAGGCCTCGCTCCAGCGGGATCTCTCGGACATCCCCCTGTCGGAGCTGATGGAGCTGCGTCGGACGGCAGGTGCGAAGGCCGTTTCGCGGCTGCGCATCGCCTCCCAAGGCGGCGAGGCGTCCCTTTCGCGTGGGCAGGCCGACTCCGACGTTCCGGCCGGCAAGCGCAAGAAGAGCCAGTGCGTTACGCTGTCCCTATGGGAGGATTTCACCTGTGCTGTGCTGTGCCGTGTTTTGCTGTACCGTGTTGTGCTGTGCTGTGCTGTGCAGCCGACGGGTAGGGAACCATTCGCACTAACGCCATGCTGATGCCCTCCCCCATTAGACCCCAGGTCCAGTCTTCTCGTGTGCGGGTCAGCGTGCTGCGACAGGTGGTCGAGTCACAGCGCCCGGTACGTCCCCCTG